TTTCTGTTAGCTGAGCGAGAGCTGGAAAAGATAGGAACTGGCTTGTCTTTGGTCTCATCTTCAGTTGCGATGAGCGGATAGAAGAAGTTTTCTGTGTCGAACTCAGAGAAAAAATGATCATACGTTTCAGGGACTGAATTCCCGTCATTGTAGAAGGTGGTTAAGTTATCTGCAGCTGGTTGGCTGGGAGCAGTTTGTTTCCCTCCAAAGAAGTACTGAAATATATCTATGAGAGAGATGCTGTAACTGTCTGTCAGAGAGAAAGGCAGAGGATCTGTGCCTTTGTCTTGCTTAGGCAAGACATACTCTGCTTTCTGAGATTCTCCTTCATCTACTGTTTGTAAAGTTTCACATTTCTGCATGTAGCTAAATGACTCAGACTCGAGTGCACGTAAGTTGTGCACGCTGATATTTTTGGAAATCTTTCGGAGGGACTTTTCAGCCTTTTCTGAGAGGAAAGGTCGAGAAGTGTCACTCACAGATGTCAGCATCACATTTTCAGGGTAAATATCAGCACTTTGGCTCACGTGGGCTGATTCACTCTCCCATAAAACACTTCGTGAAGGGGAAAAATTGGCCGCGCTATTAGGATTAAAACATGATTCTACAGCATCGGGGAAACCAGAGGCGTCCTCGGTCGTTTGCTCGGGTGTGGACTCGTCTATTTGAGTGAAAAAGCCTGAATCTGCCATCTCCTCGTTTTCCTGTAACGGTGGGAGGGAGCTGGGTGGAGCAGCTTTGCTGATCATTCTCAAACCCAGAATGTCGTTTATTGTCAGCTTCTCCATCTCACTCCAAAAGGAAGACATAGCAAACACTGGATTCAGCACCCGTTCAGGTTTACATTCAGCTTCGGGTACCAAGATGGCATCTTCCGCTTTTCCCAACAACTCGCACACTGAGTCTGGGCTCTTGAGTCCAGATTTCTCGTCCCCCTTTTTTCCTCCATGACCTCCAGACTCTTGCTCGCTGACAGATGAACAGAAACTTGCTGGCATGTCTCTGATATTTCCATTTGACCGTGACTCTGTGTTCAGAGTACCGCAGGATGATACATTTGTGATATCTGAAAGACTTGTTAGTACATCTTCAGACACGGGTGATTTGGTTCCTGCTCGACTCTTGCTTGTTATCTGTGATGCCGCTAGTGTTTCTGTGCTTTTCTCTGAAATATCTAATTTGGTGTGAACCTCAAGAGGACGCTCTGTATTCACACCTATACAGGGTGAACTTTTAGACAGAAAGCTTTCATCGGGCGAGGGATTAAAACTATCAGATGTAAATTGAGCGCTGATAACTTTGCAGGCAGAAGTTTTTAATTGCAGAGGTTTTGTGAGCAAGCCTTTTAAAGTCGAGGCTGTAGGTGGAGAATAGTTGGTGTTTGCCATTGTGCCGCTATATTGGTCTGTGTTGTGAAACTCCTTTTCCAGCTGTTGTTGGGGCTCAGCCTCACTGGGACACAGTGTGGGCTCGTCCCCACCAGAATTTCCAGCCGCCACAGCCAGGACTGACTTAGCGGCGGGTTGTCTGTCATTTTGGCCGACTTCCACAGAAGTAGCATTTGACTCTGAGCTCGATAAAAGACTATGAGTTACTGCTTTGACCTCTACAGCAGATGTGAGATTCTGTTCATTTTCAGGTGAAGTGACGGAGTGAAGCCCCTCGACTTTTATGTCCCCGCTCTGACTTTCTCTGCCCATGTCTGGTTTACCATATTCACCTACTGTCATTAAAACTGGCAGTTTAGGATACATTTTCAGTCCAGCTGATTTTTCTTCCTGCGACTCGCTGCAAACCTCTGAGTTTGTTGCCACAGTAGCACTGCTGTTTGGTGCAGACGTCGCACTGTCATCAGTTTGACTCAGTGTGGTCGCTGAGCTATTGTTTGCTGAATTATTGTCGGATGTATCTGTACTCCTCCTCTGCCTGCCCACGCTCTCTGACAAATATTGGTGCTGACTATCACATGGAGGATTAGAGGATATAATCACCGGGAAACTGCTGCTGGTCATTGAATATGGCGTTAGAAGAGATGTGAGATTTTTCTGTGGTTCGTTTAAATAAAACGACTTGATATCCTCAGAAAAGCAGAGACCTGTTCCTGCTTTTGACGGGCACTGCTCCTCCTCCGAGTCGCTCGGCTTGACTAAAACCTGCCTCTCGTGCCCACCTTCGCTTTGCTCCACACTGAGCCGTCTCTTCTTTCTCCTCTTCCTCTTCATGGAAGCAGACGGAGAT